TGCCAATCGTTCTCAGATTAAAACAATTACGTTTCTTTCTGTCTAATTTATTTTGAAAAAATCGAGCACTATAATTTTATCAAAACCGAAATAAGGTAAGGGTGATGTGTGAGAAATTCTTTCTGATAATGCCATCTGTGCATCAGCTGTGCAAAGCTTTACCACTCAAAGACAGATGTTGGCAACGAGGAATTGCATAATTAGCACAACTTTATTTTTCATATGTTCACTTGTAATGGAATCAATAAATTCAATCATAAGTAAATATAAAACGAAGAAAATAAAAACGAATTGTACAATGTACAATGTAATAAAACAATAAATTTTATTATTCAACGATGAAAAATCCACCTATCTCGTTCATCAATCTAAATTAGAACAGTTATTAATCAAACAAAAGGAAGCATAGCGTTGAATTCTATTACCTATCAACTAAATGATCCAGGAACAATTTAGATATTTTCCCAAAACGTTAAATATGAATTTACTTGAAACATTCGAAGGAACATTAGGTGGGAAAGACATTGTTTGTTCAGTCTTCTGCGAGTGAAACGCCTGTTTGTCTGTAAGCGAGTTGAGTGAAAAGTGGAAAAAAAGATAGGTCGAACACTGACACTGATAATCTTTTAGTTTTATTGGAACAGGAGTAGGGAAAACGATTCATAACCTGCCACATATTCCATCGTTCTACTGGGAAAGTGTAAAAGGAGATAACAGCTTTGGAGGAGTAGCAATTCTAATTCATCAGTCCATTGCGTGTACAGTAATCGAGAAAGAAGAAAGCATATTTCAATATGGGAACAGTGCACTTTATCTTTTGGAATAATCTTTATAAGAAGGAGAATAGCAAATCGGGCTATTTTTCATCGGGGTGGTTTGGGAAGAAACGGTATACATATTCTAATCCGTCTTTTTGCGTAGAGTCCGAATCTGGTACCCGCGACGATGGAATGGTACTATACATGAAGCGCCATCCGCAATTAACAACTACGAAACCTATTCCTCTTGAGTTACCACGAGCAAAAATTACACAAACAATTGTTGATAAATGGTTTAATTTACTAGAAAAGGTTCTTATTGATAATGATTTATTAGATAAACCATCTCAAATATTTAATTGCGACGAATCTGGCTTTGCCGATGCAACGGAGAGAAGGAAAGTTATCGTCGCCAGTCCAACGAAGTTTCCATATAAGAAGCAAGGTGGTACCGGTGGTAAATCATATTATTCTGTTTTATTCTGCGTTAGCGCAAGCGGTGTCATATTACCGCCATACACAATTTACAAACCAAAAAAATTATATGGGAATTGGTGTCTAAACGGTAAATATAAGAATTGAAAATCACTTATATTTAGAGAAAAAATACGTATGTTTTTTTCATGACTTTTATTTAAGTAACAAAGTCAATTTTTTAGGTTCAGTAATGCATTACGCTCAAGATGCTTTTTCCAAAAACGGCAAACCAACAATGATCCCTACTTATCC